ACCTGTCTGTCTCTACCTGTCTGTCTCTACCTGTCTGTCTCTTCTTGTCTGACTCTTCCTGTCTGTCTCTTCCTGTCTGTCTCTACCTGTCTGTCTCTACCTGTCTGTCTCTTCTTGTCTGACTCTTCCTGTCTGTCTCTTCCTGTCTGTCTCTTCCTGTCTGTCTCTACCTGTCTGTCTCTACCTGTCTGTCTCTACTTGTCTGTCTCTACCTGTCTGTCTCTTCCTGTCTGTCTCTTCTTGTCTGTCTCTTCTTGTCTGTCTCTACCTGTCTGTCTCTACCTGTCTGTCTCTTCTTGTCTGTCTCTTCCTGTCTGTCTCTACCTGTCTGTCTCTTCCTGTCTGTCTCTTCTTGTCTGTCTCTTCTTGTCTGTCTCTACCTGTCTGTCTCTCAGTGGGTAGGAGCCAAACAACATGAGCTCCAGGTGAACTCCATGCAGCTTCTGTATTATCAGGTGAGTCTCAAAAGCTCAATAAATCAGATGAACTGTATCTGTTGGACTGTAAAGTTCAAAGGTCACTTATTGCTCCTGTTGCAGTCCTGTCAGATTTTCTTACTGCAATAAATATGTTGCTTAGAACTTTATTTATTCACATATTTAAAGTGTTAGATTTTGTACTCACAGGATTCAAAATACTTGTTAATAAACCAGGAACTATGGTAGGCTGTTGTAACATATAATCACACTGCAGCTTTTCTTCAGTCACAGCTTTGCTCCTGGTCAGAATAAGATTAAACCTGGTTAAAATCCTGGAAGAAAACAAAAACAAAGTTATAATATTTTGTTTGTTGTTTAAGGCTCCTCTGTCGTCAGCGTTCCTCCTCGGCATCATCCCTCTGTTTGAGCCGCTGACCGGAGATGGGGGGATTTTTGGACCGTGGTCTCTGCCTGCTCTGGTCAGACGTGACACAAAACGCTTATAAAACACCAAACAACAACAACAAAAATAACTGTTGTCGTCTTGTTGCCCAGGTGACGGTGCTGTTCTCAGGTGTGGTGGCGTTCCTGGTGAACCTGTCCATCTACTGGATCATCGGAAACACCTCAGCCGTCACGTATCCTTCAACAAACCAGGAGCAAGGGTCCGAGGGGTGTTTGCTAATGCTAACTATAAGCTGCTGAAGGTTTTGTGTTCTTTGTCCTGACTGAAGCTCTCAGCTACAACATGTTCGGTCACTTTAAGTTCTGCATCACTCTGGTTGGAGGATACCTGCTGTTCCACGACCCGCTGTCACTCAACCAGGTGAGTCTTCCTCGTTTCGGCTCATATGTATAAAAGCTTTTAGCTACTGTGGTGGGCACATTTAATCAAAATATTAGCTTCACTAACCACTAATCCGCTAAACAATAATCTTAGCTCCGCTGACGCTAAACCGCTAACGCTAAACTGCTAAACAGATATTAAAAAAAACATTGGACGCTAATGCTAACTGCTAAGATGACTGTCAATCTGTTTCATCTCCTTTCTGTTCTTTGAAGATGGGTGGAATTTCTGTGGCATATCGGCCAATCCAAACCAGTTATCGCTCCATCTAACTTCCAGTTTAGCCCTTTCAGAATTAAAGCGTTTTTAAAATCATGTTTGTGTCTTTATAAATACCATTTAAAGTTAGTCAAAAAACAATTAGCAAATTTTTTTCTGCCATATTTTACCTGTAGTTAAGTTTTGTGTTTAAATATTAAATGTTATTTTACTACTTTTAGAAGCTTTTAATTTGAAGTTTAGCTGCTAAAGATGCTACATGCTAACGCACACAGTGCCTGACACCTCCAGCACTACTCTTAAGAGTTATAGTTTTTAAATTTGGCATAAATGGCACTTATAATTAGCGGATGCTAATCGGT